AGTGTAAGATTGTTTATTAATGAGCACTGTCCTGATTAAATAAAAAATAAAAATAAATGGGGGCTGCAGCTCACCTTGCACCAGCAGGAAGGCGTGGCTGGAGGATTCTCCGGCCACGTTCTGGGCTTTCACCATGATGCTGGCCGAGTCCTCGGCGGTCACGTCTCTGATCACCAGCTCACACACGTGGTCCTCCGGCCAGTACCAGTAGACGCGCTCCGTCTTCTCCAGCTGAACGCCGTTCTTGAACCACAGGCACTCGGGATCTGGCCGGCCGACCACCCTGCACCTGAACCGGACCTCGTCCATCGGTGAGACGGTCTGGCTGGCGATGCGCTCCAGGATCTTCGGGGCCTCCATGCTGGGGGACAGCTGGACCCGCTCTGGTTTGATGGTGGGGATTGTCACTTTTCCCTCCTCCTCCAATCTCTTCCGCTCTGCTTCTTCCTTCTCTCTCATGCGGTGAAGCAGCTCCTCCTTGGTCTTCTTCAGCAGGTCTTCGTAGGAGTCGTCCCTCTTCTTGGATTTGAACTCCACGGCAGAGATGGACTCGTAGAAACCTTCCTCTGTCCTGCGTTTGAACTTAGTCTTCAGCTCCTCCGACTCCTCGGAGGTTTTCTCATGAACGATTCTCTGTGCCTTTCGCAGTGTCACAACTTCCCTGTCCTGTGCCGTCTCACTTGGTCGGTCCACCTTCACAACGTCGAATCCGATTCTGCCCGATTCATGCAGGGCCTCGGCCGCCTTCGTTTCTGGAGCGCGTCGCAGCACGGCCCTGAAGTCTTCCCTCTGTTGGATCTCCAGCTTCACGGTGTGCTCGGTGGTGCCCAGCGGGTTGTCCGCCACCACCCTGACCTCGCCGGAATCGTAGGACTTAATGTCTGTGATCTCCAGGTAGTAGATGCCATCATAGCGGAGTTTGTATCTCTTGCTCTTGCGGATGAGCTGCCCGTTGAGGTACCAGTTGACCTTTGGAGCCGGATATCCGGTCACTCTGCAGCGGAATCGGGCGATGTCTCCCTCCAGCACCCTGACCGGATCGGGCAGGAGGACGATCTCGGGTTTTGTCTTCTCAGAGTCTTCATCAGCCGTGACTCCGGCGGGTCCGCCCTCGTGGGCGATGCGCTCGATCTCGTCCATCCGGTGCGCCCCCCTGCGGCCCTCAGGGAGCTGGGACTCCTCCACCAGGCCCTTCTCGTCCTTGACGATGAGCGTGGCCGAGGTCTGGTCCACGCCGAACTTGTTGGAGGCTCGGCAGGTGATGACGCCGCTGTCCCGGGCGTAGGCCACTTCGTAGTCCA